TCCCCCAGCCAGCCCCTTCCTGTGGATGCCACTTTGCAGAGCTGCCCTTGCTCCAGCGGCACTGACCTGGTACTGGGATTTCCAAAGGCTGCAAATGCATTTCCAGTGTGGGTGAGACGATGGTATCTGGGGGTGAGGCGGGAGGCAGGATCCGGCCCGCTGCAGGACCAGGCAGTGGGGATGGCCCCAGGCTCTCATAGTGCCCGCTCTGCGCTTGTGGAAGGGGCAGGAAGGAGGGAGCAGAAGATGCTCTGGGAAGCTGCAGATGAGGGTAAATCTCCCCCCACGTACCTGCGGTCCAGCCTGCTTCCAGTCCCTGCAGTTCAGCTTAGTGCGAGGAGCCCGTCCTGTACCCCTCGGGGAGCGCAGGCCCCTGCTCTGCCCCGTGCCCGTGGCTCTGCCCCGTGCCCACGGCTCTCCGAACCCCTTGCAGGGCGTGAAGGAGTTCAAGTGCGAGGTGTGCGGGCGGGAGTTCACGCTGCAGGCCAACATGAAGCGGCACATGCTGATCCACACCAGTGTCCGTCCCTACCAGTGCCACATCTGCTTCAAGACGTTTGTGCAGAAGCAGACGCTCAAGACCCACATGATTGTGCACTCGCCGGTGAAGCCGTTCAAGTGCAAGGTACCGCCGGGGGGTTCCGCAGTGCCGGGGGGCTGCGCTCGGGAGAAACCCGGCCAGGCTGGGCCGAGCTCTCAGCCGCAGGAAAGCAGTTTTGTGATGCCTCCCTCTGTCCGCTCGGGAAAACAGCTCGTCCTGATGCCGCTGCTCCGAGCGGTGCAGCTGGGAGCTGCTGCTGTGGGCAGGGCATGGGCACTGCTAACAGGGAAGGGCGGGTGGTATCTCCCTCCGACCAGCGCTAGATGTGCTGGAATTCCCAGTGACACCAGCGCCGCACCCCCGAGGCCACCTGCTGCAGGGTGGGGAGGAGGGAAGCGGCCCCAGTACTCCTGGATATTGGTGGGAGCAACAGGGGACCCTGGGAACGAGGTCCCTCTGCAAAGTGTGTGTCTCTGTGGCAGCACTGGCCATGGGGGGCCAGGACCTGCCGCCGTCCCCTTCCCCGGGAGCGGGGGAGCCGCGGCTGAGCCGGGAACGCTGCCCGCAGGTCTGCGGCAAGTCCTTCAACCGCATGTACAACCTGCTGGGCCACATGCACCTGCACGCGGGGAGCAAACCCTTCAAGTGCCCCTACTGCTCCAGCAAGTTCAACCTGAAGGGCAACCTGAGCCGGCACATGAAGGTCAAGCACGGGGTGATGGACATCAGCCTGGACAGCCAAGGTGGGTGCAGGCGGTGGCAGAGTGGGTGCTGTGCCTTTCCCTGCGGTGGCTGCTCCCAGGAGCA